GTATGCAGGCTAGGACCAAGGCTATTTTCTTACTTTTCGTTTCCCTTTTATTGCAGGACATTTTTACCGCTTATAAGCAGCCTTTTGCCATAACATACCTCGGAGCCTCTCTCATGGTAGTTTACCTCCCAATAGCATTCCTTAAGGATTGGTTTTGTAATTTGGTAAAAAACCACTCTTCTAAAAGTGGTAAAAATGCAGAAAGCTTCGGTGAGACTTGTGCTCTAAAACACAGTGGAGCGGATACAAACTTGGATGTGGAACTTCAGGGGAGTTTCACTAGAAAAGACAGTGATGCTGATTTTTCAACTCACGCTGAAGAAGAAAGCCCCCTGGTTTCTAGAAACAAAGATGATCCATATATATTGAAACAAGAGAAAGAGCTTACTAACAAGGAAATTGCTGCATATGGATTTTACATTGCCCCCATCTGGTTTGTAACCGAGGCAAGTTAACATACATCTCTAGCTTTTTTTTAAAAAACGCGTTTGCTAGGGAGAGGTTTCCACACCCTTATAAAAAATGTTTTGTTCCCCTCTTCAATCGATGTGAGATCTCACAATCCACCCCCCTTCGAGGCTCAGCGTCCTCGCTGGTCCACCGTCCGGTGTCTGTCTCTGATACCATTTGTACATTCCAAGCCTACCGCAAGCAGATATTGTTTTCTTTGAGCTTTCCCTTCTGGTTTTCGCTCAAGGTTTTAAAACGCATCTGTTAGGGAGAGGTTTTCACGCCCTTATAAAGAATGCTTCGTTTCCTTTTCTAATCGATGTGGGATCTCACAATCCACCCCCTTTGGGGCCTAGTGTCCTCGCTGGCACTCGTTCTCCTCTCCAATCGATGTGGGATCTCACAGATGATGTAGTGGAATCTTATTTGGGAAACCTCAAATTAACATGGGATAATGTCAATCTCGGAATGAGCCGTGTGGAGGCATTGGCATTAATCATTTATGTTTCTTGCATTTGCATCCTTAACGCACTCTGCAATCACGATAAGAACCTTCAATGGTAAGTCCTAACACTCTCTTTTTGCAGTATCTATCAAATGCTGCACTTGCACGGACGAGTGTCGCCAGTACAACAGTTTTATCCTCTACTTCTGGACTTTTTACTCTGTTCATTGGTGCTGCTCTTGGCCAAGATTCATTAAATATGGTCAAAGTCGTTGCTGTATTTGTCAGTATGGCTGGTGTTGTTATGACAACTCTTGGTAAAACTTGGGCTGCTGATGAGTCACAACTAACAGCTTCCGAGTATGTATCCGATTTTTCTTTCGTGTAATTTCGTCTCATTGCTCTTCACTTGAAATATATAGCTATGATTCATTGGTAAAGCATGAGCATTTAAAATTTTGCAACGTTTACGTGAGAAATTACACCATCCTTATAACCATTGCATGGTAGTGGAGTCGAGCTAGAGCCTCTGTCATTGATAACATGAGATATCTCGCTTCTGATGAATGTATTAGCCTTGTTATGTGAGGAACTTCTTTCATCCTTGATGGTTAATATTGTGGTGCAGCAACGAACACTCTCTCATTGGAGATCTTTTTGGTTTACTCTCGGCTGTGTCGTATGGGCTATTTACCGGTAATAAATGCGTATGCTTCTCGCTATGTTTCAGATTGGCGTATAACTATTGATTCGACTATTTCATTTCTTCTGTAGTGCTTCTCAAGAAGTTTGCTGGTGAAGAAGGAGAAAGGGTTGATGTGCAAAAATTGTTTGGATACATTGGTCTTTTCACACTCGTTACACTTTGGTGGCTAGGTAAGTAAGTTCATTGATATTCTTTCTATAATCCATTAAGTAGAATGCATAAATTGATGTCATGTTCTCGTTTCCCTTGCTTCTTTCCCTGTGCCACTTGGGATAGTAGAAAAATTGGATTTTGTTGTATTGGATTTGGAAAGATTCCGTTAGCATTCTTTAAATGTTGGCTTATGAGATTGTGTGAGATCCCACATCGGTTGGAGAGGAGAACGACATCGGTTAAAATCGTGAGGCTGATTTTGATACGTAACAGGTTGAAGCAGACTATATCTACTAGCGGTGGGCTTGGGTTGTTACAAATGGTATCAGAGCCAGGTTTCGGGCAGTGTGCCAGCGAGGACGTTAAACCCCTAAGGAGGGTGGATTGTGAGATCTCACATCGGTTGGAAAGGGGAACGACGCATTCCTTATAAGGGTGTGGAAACCTCTCTTTAGTAGACGCGTTTTAAAATCTTGAGGCTGATGTTGATACGTAACGAGCTGAAACAGACAATATCTACTAGCGGTGGACTTTGGTTGTTATAAATGGTATCAGAGCCAAGCTCCGGGCGGTGTACCAGCGAGGACGCTGGGTCCCCAAGGGGGGTGGATTGTGAGATCTCATATCAGTTGGAGAGGGGAACGAAGCATTCCTTATAAGGGTGTGAAAACCTCTCCCTAATAGACGTATTTTAAAACCGTGAGGCTGACGACGATACGTAATAGGCTGAAGCGAACAATATCTACTGGCAGTGGGCTTGGGCTGGCTTGGGCTCTTACATATTTGAGATTTAGTCTTAACATGAGAATGTAACGAGGCATGACTGGCGCGTCCTATGTTGGGTGATATTAAGCTTGAAATTTCAAACCTTTGAGACATAACTCTTTCATTGAGCCACGAATGGCTGAATCAAGCATTGTATCTTTGAAACTTTTACTAACAATCATTTGATACGTTAGACAAGCAATCTGATTTGAGACAATGTGTTCAATTGAGGTTCCTTCGTTCATGTCTTTTTTCTTCAACTTTGTTTCAGTTTGGCCATTGACAGCCTTGGGCATAGAACCCAAGTTTTCGATTCCTCACTCTCTTAGAACAGAAGAAGTCGTTCTCGCTAACGGGTTTATTGGAAGCGTACTTTCTGATTACTTCTGGTATGTCGAATCAAGTTAAGCCTACCAAAGTGTTATATTCACTTGTCACAATGGATCCTCACACCGAACCTGTTCTATTGTATCCAGGGCACTCTGCGTCGTTTGGACTACACCACTGGTGGCAACGTTGGGCATGTCGCTCACCATACCGCTTGCGATGTTGGCTGACATGTTGATCCATGGTCGTCACTACTCAGCGGTTTACATCCTTGGCTCGACCCAGGTAACTACCTACTTTTGTGATCTGACCATTGAAGTACCAATAGATTAGCATTTGTAAATGTCGAGGCTCTCGAGTTTTATAGAATGACTGTCTTTGATTCGTGTCACGATATATTCACTACCTTTGGGATCTCTCGAACTAAAAGAATCGTTACAATGAAATCTTCAAATAGTGTAGAGATCTGGTATTATCTTGTATCGATATCGGGAATTGATATCGTGTGGAAATGAGTGATTATATATGTAATAGTCCAAGCCCACTGTTAGCAGATATTGTCTTTTTTGGGCTTTCACTTTCGGGTTTTCCTTCAAAGTTTTAAAAACGCGTTTGCTAGGAAGATTTTTTCACACCTTATAAAGAATGGTTCGTTCTCCTTTCCAACCGATATGGGATTTCACAGTATACTTCTGGTTTGCAGGTGTTTGCAGGATTTGTAATCGCCAATCTTTCGGGATGGTTCTCAAAGAAGTTGGGGTTGTAGCATTTGACTACGATGAGTTCTTAACGGAAAAGTAAGATTCTTTCATGAGTGATATGAAATCCTCTCTCCTTCATCAATTGAATTGCAATGTAAATTTTGATTGAAACCTGTAAAATCTGCAATTTTGGGTCAAGAAAATACCATTTGCATAAACCATAGATGATTGAATTCTACTTGTGTTTTTTACTTTACCACTGGTTGTGTAAATTAAGTTGAAATTGGGCTTTTTTGAGCCCTTGATGTAATAAGAATGTTTCTTTGGTTTAATTCAAAATTTATGTCATTAATTTCGAGTCCGTCTTTTTTACGCTCTCTTTCGAGCTCAACCTATGCATTTTTTAGTTGAGTATCGGGCGAAAAGGATAATATAGATAGAGTTCAGAGTTTATTCGGTAAACACTAAGAGATTTGAACATTTGATCTTTTGGTATATATATATATATACATTGAAAATGAACGTATTTAATCTTTTTATTCAATATTTAGTCTTTATTTATTATTTAGTAATTTTAAAATAGATATTTAATAATTTAAATCTTCATATTTTAAACTTTCAGCTTGCTAAATTTTAATAAATAAGTTTATTTGTTAAATTTTTTCAAAAAAACAAATCTTTTAATAAGCAAAAAATTAAATTAGAAGTATGTTTAAAACTTTAGTGGTGATTTATATATCATTAAATTTTAAAAAATATTTAATAATAAATCTTTAAATTATATAATTTAAAATTATTTAATTGATATATTTTTAAAAATATGACCCTATTTAATAAATAAAATATGTTATTAATAACATCTGAGATAATTTTAAACTTTTTGATGATTATAATATTTTAGTGTTTAATAAGTTGAATTATTGTTTTATTATCATGGTAAAATATAATTAAATACAAAATTATATATATATATATATATATATATATATATATATATATATATATATATATATATATATATATATATATATA